AGTGTCGTCTACAACTCCCCTCCACTCTAAGTAGCTATTCCTCGAGTACTGTGGTAAATAGGCAGGGAGAAGGAAGGAGGGATGGAGGGAGAAATTGGACCTACAGGAGAGGGTAACAGTGATAGATGGGGAGGTGTTATGTGGGACATCACGAAAATCGTTTACTAAAGTGAGTGACACGTGTACACTACCATAACAGTGATGACGATGCCTTTGAGTTGCACAACAGGGTTACAGTGAGTTGTACAGCAGGGTGACAGTGAAAGTTGTACTACATGGTAACAGTGAAAGTTGTATTACTTGGTAACAGTGAGAGTTGTACTACAGGGGAGTTGCAAAACAGGGTAATAACAGTGACTCGTACAACAGGGTATTAACAGTGAGTCGTAAATGGGGAAAACTGTGAATTGTAAAACAGTAACAACAATAAGTTGTATAACAGGGTAACAGTGAGCTGTTCAACGGGGTGAGAGTAGTAGAGTACTTGAGTGAGCGAGAGCTGTACGAGGGAGAGAGGAACAGAGTAGGGTGGGGTGGTTGTCCTGCAAGGGTTGAGGGAAGGGGGTGTCTGACGGAGGATGCGGGGAGGGGGGGGGAGGGGTGGGAGACAACACGGTACTGGAGTGAGTGAAAGGAGAGGGATAAGTAAGGGTAAAAGAGTAGGGAGTTGTATGATGTGTTTACTTTCATACCTTCAAGTGATTATCATATGTTTACCTTCTAAGAATTTGAAGCTGTTAGAGTATAGTTATTGTCCTTATTATTGAGAAAACGAAGATAAACTTTCAACAGCTATATTGCCTCGAGTTATAACGGCAGGGGAGAGTTTATCAGGGGGTGTGATCTTGCCTCCCAAGTCCCTCCTGTTGAGAAATTATTAATCCTGTGTGGATGGTGGAGCTCCGAGACCCAGACCTCGTAAGTCTCTCTAATCCCTTCACAGCAGCGGCGCGGATGTCGTGATATCCACCTTCCCTTCCTACCTGGCAGGGACAGGGTAATGGCTTCCGTCCTGTTCCAGCCCCCGGGGAAAAACTGAGGATTTGTCCTGTCCCAGACCAGAGTGAAAATAATAATTACCCGGCCGCAACACAAGGGAAAGTAAGTTATTTCCCTGTCCTCGCTCAAGGGAAAGTAAGATTCATCCTGTCAAAGGTCAAAGGAAAACAAACCTTCTCGGAGCTCATAAGAACACGAGATTTTTGTCCTGGCGTTAAGTAAAGGCAAAAGTATGTCCTCTCCTAAAGGAAGGAAACAAAGATTTTGTCCAGCATTACAACTGTAAATCGGAGGTGAGCGAGCCAGTCAAGGTAGACGGAGAGAGTAAGTGGCCAGGTAAAAATGGGTCTATATATATAATGAGAAAGGGGAAATAGGTACATGTGAATAGTAAGATAATAATGCCTGTGTATGTATAGTAAAATCGACCTTAGAGAATACCCAGTGATTTCAACATTGCAACGAGTAGTAATCCATACATGTATTAAACGCTTGTGTTCCACCGTACTACCCTCAGCCATACCACCACCACCATCAACCACCATGACACCACTACCATAATTCAGTTCTACATCAGACTACCTTTATAACACCTCCATACACATTCTTACCTACATTACACCAGAAACAGAAATAATAATAAAAAACAAAAATCAATACTTCACACAAGAATACGACAACCAGACAGTTGTGGGGTTTCTATCAACGGTCAGCCTTTGTGTCGTGCTGCTCCAGGGGGTCGACCGTCTGGCTAACCCCCCACCCCCTCCTCCTCCCCTAACCACCCCATACTAACATACGTGCTCACATAAATTTTACTCATATTTCTCCCCAAAAGAATAGCTCGTGGGAAAAAAATACAACGGAGAATATATATAACCGTGAATACCCGAATTAACCTATATATATATATTACCTTCAGGGAATACGTATTTAAAAACATTATTATTATTACTATTATATTCTAACTTGGAATAAATTATACACTTACAAAGAAAGCTAGATGGAAAAAGGTAGGTTATTTAGATTGACCCCTAAAACATACACAAAAAAGGTAAAGAAAAAAAAAGAAAAAGAGTTATAAAAAATATATATTTAAGAAGTGTGTGACCATCGTATGGCTACCTGTTATTTTTTATGTGGTTATGGCCTGTTGTGTGAAGCTCTCCCATAAATCTACAGCAGTCGGATACCTTTCTTGAGCAGGTAGACGGTGAGTTAGTCTCTCTCTCTCTCTCTCTCTCTCTCTCTCTCTCTCTCTCTCTCTCTCTCTCTCTCTCTCTCTCTCATAACTACAATTTACGTCCCTATCACCATCTATTGCCAAACACCATCACTACCACCTCTTTTACCTCCAACACCATGATCATCACTATCACCATCAAAATCAGCTTCACTATTAGAATCATTAACACTTCATCATCCACCTATCACCACCATAACCACTATTAACATCATTACCACCATCACCATCCATCACTAACACCATCACTAGTACTCTCACCACTAGACCGACTTGCTCCATCACCATCACCACTAAAAACCACCATCACCACTACCACCAACCAATATACCACTTACATCACCATTACAACTACCACCATCACCACTACCAACACTACCACCAACCTCACAAACCACCACCACCAACCCCACAACCTTTACCACCACAACCACCATAACTACTATCACCAAACGTAATTCCACCACAACCACCAATATAACCCCCACCAACTCCTATCACCACCGTCACCACAACTCCTATCACCACCGTCACCACAACTCCCACCACCACCACGGCACGCGTCCTAACTCTCCCCCCCTCCCCCCTCCCCTCCCCCCATCCCCTCCAACCACTACATCCCCCGTCGCCCGTGCCATTAGGGTGGAGGGGGAGGGAAGGATTATGTTCGGCGTTTATTTAGTTGTTTGAATTCTCTCTCTCTCTCTCTCTCTCTCTCTCTCTCTCTCTCTCTCCAAGCCATTACTTTGACCCATATTTTCATGGGGGGATAACAATGCTTCAGTTGATTCATATACCAAGAGTTCCCCATTATTACCATTATTCCCATTTATCCACCATTTTCTACTCTCATTATCCAGCACCCATTAACAACCTTCGTGGCATCATTCACCTCCCCTTCTTCCCCATTATCTCAAGTCTACCATTATTCTCTTCCCTCGTTATCACCCTTAACTATATTTTTTACCCGCCATCAACACCCATTATTATTGGCTCCTCCCATTGCTCCCATAATCTTTCCTTGGCCCCCATTATTTCGACTATTGTCCAATTTCTTCCTAATGCTGTAATTATTTCCGCTTTAACCATTAGTATTCCTATTATTTATCTCATTTCTTCCCCTCCCTTCCTCCCCATTATCAATATCATTATCACCTTTCCCATTATTACTACCATTATCACCATCTCTCCCATTATTACTACCATTATCACCATCTTTCCCATTATTACTACCATTATCACCATCTTTCCCATTATTACTACCATTATCACCATCTTTCCCATTATTACTACCATTATCACCATCTTTCCCATTATTACTACCATTATCACCATCTTTCCCATTATTACTACCATTATCACCATCTTTCCCATTACTACCATCTCCTTCCCCATTACTATCACCATTATCTCTCACTCCCCTTACCCATTATCCCCTTTACCCAACATCCACACTACCACAATATATTGATACGAGATTTTGAAGTCGATTGTGTAGTAATTGATGGTCGCGTTAATCCATGATAATCTGTTAAGGTAATTATTGCGTTTCACTTAATGCCCAGTTCCAATATGTATGAAACTCTCTCTCTCTCTCTCTCTCTCTCTCTCTCTCTCTCTCTCTCTCTCTCTCTCTCTTTGCTGTTAGTCAGGTGTGGGGTGCCAAACCTGTCGACCCCTCCCTCCTTTACCCTCTGGCTATGGCCCACACTCTCACTGACTCATCTTTCACCGTAAAACACGCACCCTTGTTACTCATGTTTCACCACAAACACACACACACACACTCATTCAGTTTCCTCGCATTTTAAATGAGTATTGCGTTTATCTACATACATACTAGATATAAGCAAGACATGTAGGTACTATGTGCATGGAGATGTTTTTGCATCTAAGTGCACATGTACTCATCTCTCACTACGTACACACACTCATTCTTTCGCTACGCACACACTATAAATTCAAGCCCACAGTTGCCTATGAAATTTGATTTACTACCGGTGCTCGGAGACCTGACTGACCCAGAGTGAAGTCATCGAGAGGAAAATGCTTTGTAACACGACATATTCATCATCTTGATGTAGAAAAACCATCTGGCTAATCCTAGCTAATCTTACTCCCCAACTCAGGATGCCAATCCGTGCGTGGAGGAGTATTTTTCCTGCTCTCATATCGTCCCGGACAAGCAAACTTCAGCTCTTTGGCCCGCGTTGAGGACCGGTGCGGGGGAAAAGGGAAAAATGTGTGCTAGGGTCTCTGGCTTCCTTCCCTCAAGTCCTCGACGTCTTTCTGATGTTTGTGGGGGAATTTCACTGTATCGTTTGGGATTTGATTTTTTCGAATTAGTTATTTTGCAAGTGGCGGGGAAGTTTTTTGAGGGATACGCACCGAAACGGGAAGAGGAAACGGATGAGTTGGACCAGGAAGAAGTCGTGAGTGCAGGAGTACGGACGCGGTGGTAATCACTGGAGCGAAGTAGTGCAGTGGGCCGTATCCCGCCGGGGCTCCTGCTTTTGTCCTGCCGGGCCGCCTGAGACACGATAACCAACAACACCTTTCCTCCTTCCCTGGCACTTCATTATACCGTATTTGGAGAGCAAGTCTCACCTCACAATACTCCCTCTGTGAATTTTCTCCTAAGTGCACGATTTGCAAGAACTTGATGGATACGATTTATTAACTGCGCAGTAGTGGAGCGTAAAATGACAAACCGGCAACTCAACTCCCTCCCGTGAGTAACCAACCACCCCTCCTCCCCCTCCCACCGCAGGGCCACCCCCCTACCACCACCACTACCCCCGTCCCTCCCCCTCGTCCCAACCCTGTTCTATGGACACGTTTGTGCTGCTGTGGAGGAAACGGAGATTAGATTTGATATAGAATTATGCTCGGGTGCATTTATAGCGAATTCTAGTAAACGAGGGTAGTGGGTGCGAGGTAGAGGGCGGTGCTCACTACAGCAAGGATCACTATCTATCACACTTTGAAATTTCCCGGCTGGCGTGAGGGAGGGTGACGCTCTCCTCACGTCCGCGAACTTAATCTCCCGCCAACTTGTCTTTTGAAAAACTGGAAAATATAATTCTGTCCATTGAATACCACTATTGAAACGGGCCACGCTTTGGAGAAATTCAATTCAATGCCGTCTAGACGGGCGGATAAGGGAATAACAGTATTTTTAATGTAAAATATATTCTGCATATGGTGGAATATATTACTCTTAGGGATTGCATACAGCTTCAAATTCTTTAGCATAACATTGACATAATAATACATATATATATATATATATATATATATATATATATATATATATATATATATATATATATATATATATATATATATATATATATATATATATGTGTGTGTGTGTGTGTGTGTGTGTACATTGGTTGACTTGTTCACGAAATTAATAACTTCTTTCTCTCTTCCACAGATAATAAAAATGGGGAAATCTAGTCATGCTTTTCTATGATCGTGTACCACTACTACTACTGGTGAGCTCTTCCAGTCCAGCTGCAGCATCTCAGAGTATCTGTGAGGGCCAACGCCTTTACGCCTTCTGTTCTCCTTCTGGGGCCTCACATCTCAGTACCTCCTTCAAGATCCTGAAGTAGCCTCTATGGCTTCAGGAAATCGACAGATCTCCCGCTACGATAGTCTCCGGCCGCTGCTGCTGGAGAACCTCGCTCGTAAACTGCCTTCACCAGCACCCCTTCCTCGGGAGGTTCCTGCGGTGTCTACACGATGTCCCGGCGTTCGCTTTCCTCTTGAGACAGTCGCAGATTCTATGATGTCATAATGATATCTTGCTGGGAGTCATTGTCATGGATTATGTTCATGCAGCGTCCCAAGATGTCCCGGTGTGTAGAGGAAGTTCCAGGATGTCCCTAACGCCTCGAATGATGTCCACAAAGTCCCGTGACGTCGAGATGGTCTCCCTGATACCAACACAGTCCAGCCATCTCGCGAGAGAAGGAAGGGGGCTGCCCACTTTATAATGCTAATAATAACCGGTAAGTTTGGAATGAAAAGGGTCCAGTGCATCCGAGTTCCTATAGTGAATAGCCGAGTGAATTGCTCCTGGCCTCTAGAGTGCCTATAGTTCCCATGGTTACCAATTGTAAAGCAGTCAGCTGATTTAATTTGCTAGTTAGGCTGGTAGATTCCCATATTTGATGACGGTCCTTTGAAATGGTTGCGTCATGGGCCTTCTATCTGCGAGCTTTAAATGAAAAAAAGGTAGTGTTTACAGCATGTATGTGCTTCCCATAACTCACATTTTGTCACCGGGTTTAGTTAATATGAGGTACGGTGGTACAGTATATACAGTATGTTATGTTCATTGTGATCAAATAAGACATTGTTAAGGCCTGGTTATAACACGGAAAGGAATAACAAATGAGAGCTTAGGATGGTGTTCACTAACAACATGTACGTAACTCCTGTGTTCAGTGTCATGACATCAGTCCCAGGCATTACAACTGGTGACGTAAGAGTTGTTTAGAATGTTTATGTCCATTTAAGAGAGAACTCGATACTCAGATTAAGTCGTGTTTTCCCGTGACCACCAGAGAGGGTTTCTGTAGCTGTAATTGTGAGGGTCACAATAAGAGAGCTCCTAGTGGCCTCCCATCCGCGGCTATTAGGCACATGTTTACCTCCACCGCTTGGGAAAGTACAGTAGAGTAGAGGGATGCTCCACCCCACCACTGTGAACACCGCGCCTCTTAGTGGACGGTCCCGGGCTGCTTGAGCTTATTGAACTCGGCCAAAAGGGTTCTAGGGAGTCTTTTTAAAGGGTTTTATATAAGTAAATGGGGCCTTTTGTTGATATATTTTTTGAGGAATAAAGCACACATGCATATACATGTAAACACACTATGGTGAAAAACATGTTCATACACATACACTATACAGCACACACACACACACACACAATTCAATTTCAGTTATGTTAAAATTCAAAATTTAACGAATTAACGAATGTTTTTCTTCTGTTATAGATACTGGCAGCCCTCCATAGCCAACCAACGCCAAGAGGACAAAGACATCCAGGATGGAGAGAGAGAGAGAGAGAGAGAGAAAGAGAGAGAGAGAGAGAGAGAGAGAGAGAGAGAAAGAAGAATAAGCCAAGGAGAAAGAAATAACCAGGCGGGGTGAAGAGCAAAAGGGAAGAAAATAAAAAAAAGTACAAACAAGAGAACAAACAGCGTGAACAAACAGCGCCCCCGAGAGAACAAAAGAGGGAACAAGACAGAAGGCACCGTTGGGAGAGCGCCTTCTGCTGCAGTGTGTGGTCCAGGAGCTCCCAAGTCAACGCACTACCAACACCAACAACAATCCTGAACCACAACTCCTTGTTTACAGAAAGCATGGCGAGATGTTAAGAGAGAAAAATGATCATAGCATTTATACGTATTTTGGGAAGGGGGTCGATTGATTGCATTATATAATATATTTCCTTATGTATATTTTTTCTCGGGTGGGGGGAGGGAGGGGGGGTTGTGATTGTCTAGTCAAAAGTGCAGCAGAGCCTAAATAAGACATGTTTTATACTTACGCCAAAGCTCCCTCCGTGTGTGTGGCCGTCACGACCAGCTGCTGGTCTGTACAAAAGTGTTCCTAAACCAGACCGTTTTTTGTCGCTGTTCCTCATCAGTGACAGTCATGTGTTCAAAAAATAATAATCTCCAGCGTGACAATATTCACCAAACATTGTAAGTCATGGAAGGAACGAATCTCTTGTGTGGACGAATAATGGTCGTCTACCGTAGCTTGTTGCTGCATTATGCTTAACATATACACACTAGCCTGGTCTTAGTAATGTAGAAACTCTCAAAAAAGCTATTGGGGGAAGTAATGTTACGCTATTTTTAAATATGAGCTGGTGACTATAAGAGTAGCTTGAGGGAGCCTCTACACTACTCTCCCACACCCGGGGGGACACAAGAGTTTAACACCACCAGTTGTATTAATCTCACCAACTCGTCGAACAATGTGGCGAGTGTCAAGCCTATTTTTGTATCATAACCGTTCTAAACCAAAATGCTAACAGTATCATAACAAAGACATAATATTAACCAATAGATTCCTTCATGGTGATTCTCATCTGATAATTCCCTGTTTTTTGTGTTACTAAAATACCAATAATAATATGAGCTTGGTAACCAGTGCCGTGACACTACTGTCGTAAAGTCTCTCTCCTCGTGCCTTAAGACCTAGTGGTCGCCTTACAATGCTTCCAAATACTACTTATGTGCCTTTCTATAATGCCTTAATATTTGTTAACTAACCCTTGAGTATTATAAATAACCTCTACTCTATTATATCAGTGATCTCTTTTTTATAAATATATATATATGACTGTAGTCTAGTTGTTATGGACAGTTTTTGACTAAAAGAAAAAATATGATCTCTTTATGCTGTCGTTGCTCAAGTGCCTGGAAGGTACGTGAACCTCTTATTCGAAAAAAGACTCAAACAGTATTGTATTTAATGTTAAGAAGATGTGTCAGATCTATGGGGAAAAAAATGTCATGATAGATATTGTTGAGACAGTCCAAGTTTACACCCAACAAACACCACCTCCCATAGACGTCTACCATAATAAAAAAAAACCCAACCATTAAGAATATCCAATATTTGTGGGCATTTGCACACACCAACACACTCTAGTACAAGCTTGGCATTGTTACTCCTCCATTTTCTCCAAGTACATTATAGTATACATATCTATGCATACATTATCATCTCCTGTTTACACGTTTAAGTATACATTCTTGTATAACTCATCCCTGTATGCACACGGTCCCCATGTATGCACATTACTTGTATACACATTCCCACGCAAAAACACATTCCATAGAGCACATTCCATATTCGCTTGGAAGACAAATTATCACGTGGTACATAACTGTATATTATTATGTTTTGTATAATCATTGTTGTACTATTTTTAACCTGTTGATTGTATGATTGTGCCCACCAACTGTTCTCGTCTCTGGTGTGCTTCCTACCTTTAACAGTATGGTTACCCAGTCATACCATTTTTACCAACAGTTTATACAGTCAGTTTGATAACTTGACTGTATTATTTACGTCTACAATCTGTTTGATAACTGACTGACCATGAGCCATCCTCGTGTGACTGTTACCGACTGTTGAGTGTGGGAAAACTGAACACCAAACTGTTTTCCGTATTCGGTGTAAAGAGTACTAATGCTTGTTGTGTATCAGGCTAGAATGTATATATTGTACAGAATTTTTATATGTATGCATAAGCTTTTGTTAAAATAAAGGCAATGCTTTAAAAGAGAACTTAAATCTTTCCATGTACCCTTGACAACCTTTTCTTTATAATACTGATAAATAATGATGAATAAAGTCAGTAATGGTGATAATAATTATGATATTTGAAGGAGTCATTAACAGCCAGAAAACTGAAGAAAAAAAAAATCTTGAAAAAATAAGAAAGAAAACTTGCATTAATTTTGGAATAAAGGAAATTTCTTAATAAATCAAATACAAATATATTTGAAGAGAATGTACAGTACAGTGGTATAAAAGAAATGTAATGTACACACAACTTCACTACACACTCCCTACTACTACTACTACTACTACTACTACTACTACTACTAATAATAATAATAATAATAATAATAATAAACTCAAATTTTAGTTATCCTTGCTCAATAATCATTAACTACAAGACAAAAGTAATATACAGTACATACAAAAATTACTTATAAAACTAAACAACTTTAGTATAATGAGTCACACTACAGCACAATGTAGATTATAATTATAAGTATTAACAAAATAAACAAAAATAATAATATCAAACAAAAATAGATTAAATAAAGTAATAAGCTTATGAAGGACAAAATAAAGCACAAGTCAGACAAACGCATAGATATTACAAACCACTTAAGTTGCCATAGAGAAAGTGTCAACAACCTTCGAGACGCAACACTGACAAGGGAAAGTTTATGGGCCAAAAAATCTTGATACATTAAAAAGAATGACAAAAACAGACATAAATAACCAAGGAGAAAATCACTATACCTGTACACAGTTAATACAATAAGACAAAAAAAAACTAAAACTGCCAAGCCCATACAATACATTTTAATAAGAATATAACATGACTTAATTAAGGAAAATGACAATATACATTTTTTTCGAATAAATAAAAATAAACATAAGCAAAAGATACCATTTATTATAAGGTAATTCCATAATAGTAAAAGTTAAATACCGTATAATGAATTAAATTATATATATTTACTAGATAATATAACACGTTCTCATGTGATAATAATATTGTAATATATTTAATGAAAATAAGACCCATTTTGTGTGTGTGTGTGTGTCTGTGCGTGTGTGTGTGTGTGTGTGTGTGTGTGTGCGTGTGTGTGTGTGGGTGTGTGTGTGTGTGTGCGTAGAAGGGAGTGCAGACACATAACTGGATTCGTCGTCTAAGGATAAACGACCACAATTTCATAAGCCTTCGTTTATCTAGACTCATAGAGCCTTCTCCGGGGGTTCACACGACCCCAGTAGCTCATCCAGAAGTTCACACGACCCCAGTAACTCATCCAGAGGTTCACACGACCCCAGTAACTCACCCAGAGGTTCACACGACCCCAGTAACTAATCCAGAAGTTCACACGACCCCAGTAACTCATCCAGAGGTTCACAAGACCCAGTAACTCATCCAGAGGTTCACACGACCCCAGTAACTCATCCAGAAGTTCACACGACCCCATTAACTAATCCACAGGTTCACACGACCCCATTCACTCATCCAGAGGTTCACATGATTCCAAAAACCGACTTCTCTCTTCGTAATGTCTCCAGCCCTTAAAAATGTCTCACCCTATCTCAAGTAACTCACACGACTTTTCTCGGTTGTTGCGTCACCAGCAGCTGTGTGCACTGTGGAGGATAAGATCACTTGATGGAGATTAAAACAACGACCGGGGGCAAGAAAGGTAATTATTGAGCCTCACTGTTGGACTGCATTACTACCCTTTGTTACGTTATCAGCTCTTATCACTGATGCACACAGCTGTCTCTCAGGCATGGTGGCCCGTTACCTCACCGTCTCTCACTTTCTACCCGCCAAGTCTCCTCTTACCGCCATAAATAAACCTTTATTCTGTAGTGTTATATAGCTATTCCTTGTAGATCCACAGTAGTGACATGAAGATAAATATTGATAAAAACTCACAGGAAAAGAGAAACGTGTATATATATATATATATATATATATATATATATATATATATATATATATATATATATATATATATATATATATATATATATATATATATATATATATCAAAGCCCATCTACACAAGCCGCTCCTAACCCCATCACACATCCACACAGATACTAGTCCCAATCCACATTCACACACACTTACTTTCAAACCTCTCGAAACTATACTAAATTCACACTCAATTCACCGTCATATCACCACTACCCCTTGTAAAGTGTATTAACTAACAAACACACACACACCACCACTACCTCGGTGTTAGTCACGGAAGTCAATACTGAAGGACTTTCATTTCTAACTAATTCATTGGACATTTCCTAGAGGTTAATACACTCGATTAAACAGTTTTTATCAATGAGTAATATAAGCGATAGTGTGTCTAGTAGAGAGGAATACTAAGACAAGTGGTGTAATACTGTAGGTAAATAATTATAATACTGTAAATGGCAAACGACACTGATAAATGGAAAGAAACTTCATCAACGTTAACACAAAGATTAAATGCAAAAAAACCCTTACGATTCATTTTAAACTGATACTTATTACTAGTTACTTGTACATTTCATCAGACAACATAAACTGAATCATCATCTTTCACCTTTCATGGTAGTACAGTAATGGAGTTTACATTCATGTTTGCACTTCAGTCCATCTGGCAGACACTGACAGCTTGGGAGTTAACAGGTATGAGCACACCGAGAGGACACGAATTTTAAAATAACCAGTGCAGGAGTTCCAGTGATCAGTCTAACATCATCCTCCCTATGGCTCACTCTGGGAACATGACATACTGGCTCTAGCGCTACTGTACTGTACACTACGGCTCCATCCATTAGTAGTTGGCTCATGAGTTTACTGGTGAACACTGTCTTCCCATGGTGGTGAGACTGGCAGCTAAATTCATTAAGTTAACGTGGAAGTATTTACTATAGGCACTACGCAGCATTATATAGTTTACTTGCG